TAAATTTATTCATCTTCATTTTAGTGCGCATAACAACATTAAAATTTAAAACATCGCAGCAGGTCAATTGGTAACTGTTTGTGCGTTCGAATCTTCGCACACACAGTGATTGAAAAGAAAGGAAGAAAGTAAACCTCGATAACTTTTTGTGGGTTTTTATTTATTTATTTATTTTTTTTGTGTTTGCTTAACAGTAGATGTCTTCAGGCTTTTTGATTTAGTAAAAAAAAAAAAAACAAACTAGGAAATAAGAATTTACGAAGGATTAATTACTCATTAAGTTTTATAGAATCAAATATTAGTTAATGATATAAAAAATAAATTCCTTACTAATTAAATCATAATTCTTTAAATATGATAACAGGTTATTGGTAATGTGTTAATAAAAATTTTCTAGTTCGGGATAAACTTTACAGTGAGTGACTTGGAGCCACGTAGGACACTAGAGTAGGTTTAGTTTCTTTTGTTGTGCCAATCTATTTCTTGAGATTCTGTAATTGGAAAAAAAAAAAAAGGAAAAATAATATTAGATCATGGATGTTTACGGTAAAAGGAACTAGTTTCATTTGTAAAAACGAAGGTGAAGTGTAGCATTGCATGCTGTTTTTCATAAAAGTATAAACATCGAAACATTAGACTATTATATAGTTTTTTGTTTGCAGTTCTTTTCTTTTCTTCTTCTTTTTCTTTCCCTCTTAAATTGACAGTTATTATCACATGGTTATTCTTATTCATGAGATGATTAGTCCCTAACAAATTCATTATGTTAAGCATGATTTGCTTTCTTATTTTAAGTTTTTTGCTAGATCAAATCTAACAAAATTCAAGACTTTTCGTGTTTAAATAGTCTCACAAACATTTATCTATTATTTAAAGTATTTTACTTTATAATTCAGATAATAAAATATAAATTGTTAGATAAAAAAAAGTCTCTAACATTAAATGATTTATTTTATTTAATAATTTAAATTATAATTAATGACCTAAATCGTTTTGTGGTTATTTTTAAATTTTGAGTTTGAATCGCAAAGTGTATGGATGAAATGAAATAAAGAATAGAGATAATTGTTTTTTATTGTGTAATCAAGATAAAAAAAATTTAATTATATAATTTAATATAATTTGAATTATAAAAAGTTTTTGTTTTTTTTTTTGTACAGTGTTATTATCTATTTGTTAATCTACCTAAAAGGAAAAAACAAAAGAAATAAAATAGAAAATTAGAAGAGTAAAGTATGTACATTTTCGAGGACAATGTACTGAATGTAGTTTCCTACTTTGGTTGCGCACACTTCTCCTGACTCGTCCACTTCACTCCACTCCACTCTTCACAGTTCACACTCCCAGTATCACCTTCACTTTCTCTCTCCACTTTCCCAAATGCCAATCAACAGAGATCCCTCTACGCCCCCGCCCATGATCGGCAAGATCGGGCCCTACACCGTCTTCGTCACCCCACCGGCCACCCCCAAGACCCCTGAACCCCTTTACCACTCCCCACAAAAGCCGCAGCAGCATCCCCTTTTCGAGTCCCCTAAAAAGGTACAGCCTCCTCCTCCCGTACAGCCCCCGCCGCAGCAGTTTGATAAGTCTATCGTTGCTTCTGATGGGTCCGTTTTGGGTTTCTTTAAGAGTGCTGTCTGCAAGGTGCAGAATGGTATGTTGTTTCTGTCTACTGTTTTTTGTTCTCCTTGTCTTATTGCATGTGATGTTTGGGTTCTGGGGAAATTGACGGGAGTCATGGAAATTGAGGTATAAAACTAATGATTGGTCTTGCTTTTTTGATGGGTTTTCTGGTGCTGCAAGGAGTGCTGGATTTCCTGAAGCAAAAAATGTAATTCTTGTGTTTTTGTTTTTTTGCAGCTCATTCAAGCTTGGATGACCATCTGGCGCGCTGGTTTGGTTTAAATCAGTCCAAATATCAGTGGGCACTTGATGATTATTACGAGAGTAAGGGACTGGTAAGATTACTATTTTTGGGTTTATTAGAATTATAGATTTTAGCTCCTGCTAAAAGTATTGGTGAAGTAGCTTGTGAGAAATTGCTTTTAAGTTGCAAACATTTCATTTCTCTAGTGCTTTGCTTTGTAGTTGATCTTTGAATAAGGTATGGATTCTTAAATTAATTCTTGTTAGTTGGAGATTTGAGTTTATTGATAATTTTTCACAATTTATTTACATTATTGCATAGCATGCCCCACAGACTGGTTCTTTTTTCTTTTTCTTTTTCTTTTTTTATTGTTCTACTATCAGCTGAGGTTGCTGTTATTTTGGAATTTTATTAATGTTATTGCATATGGAACTCAACAACCTGTGACTTATTGTGTTGGCTAGTTGTACAAAAAATTTTGGTTTATTTTATCTTTCAATTCACACTATAAGACAAGGCTAAAGAAAAAGAAGTGTAAGTTGATTAGGCATGGCAATGGTAGAACGCATTCTGGAATAGCTCAAAAACCACCCTAATTTTTGGAAATTTTGCTCCTTCCTTTGTCAGTGTGGCTCAGAGTGGTCAGGAACTTGCCCTTTGTTTGTTCAGTTTTGGATAACAATTGGTTCACTTTCTTTATTCTTATAGAATATGGATGGATGTTTTGTCCAAAAACTCACATCTTCTTCAAGAATCAGATGACTAGTCTGTTTGTTCATCAAGGTTATTCATAATGTTAGAGGGTTGATTGGCATGTCTTTCGGCAGTTTTTCTTCTTTATAATTGTTAGTCCATGAAGCCACCAAAGATAGAATCCAGGAGGGTCTTGGGATGAATTGCGTTCAGTATCTATTGAAGCATAGGTTCAATAATCCAAAAACATTTATCTGCATAGATGTCTTGTCTTTCTAGTTCTATTATATAAATGTAACCTTATTGATTTTGCCAAAGGGTTTTCCTGTGGCTTCAATTTTCTTTTCCAACTTAAAAGTCGATGATTGTGCCGGTGTGTATCCTTGGACAACTAATTTTGTGGATTTGGTTATGCCTATTTTATTTAAGCTCAGCTTTTTATCTATGTATGGTACTTTTTATTCTTTTTGATTTTTTAAACATGTCAAAAATTATTGATTGCAGGAAAAGCAAGGTGGAAAGGCAAAAGCTATATCAAGCAAAATACAGAGTGTGTAGCATACTTTTGAACTGGTGACAAGGTATCTGAAATCCATCCTTTGCCCTTCTTTAATTCCTTTAGATATTGAAGTGGTCTGTCTTTACTTTTAATCTTTTTAATGTAATGTATACAAGAAATTCAGGTTAAGTGATTTGGATATTGTTGTTTCGCAGAATTTAGATCAAGTGATGATGCATGTTGTGTCTCCTTTTTGTATTATGTCTATGTGCCTAATGTATGCAATTGAAAAAAATGCATTTGGCTGCTTGAAGGGAGCTTTGTTGACATATGGGGATCTCTTTATTTGCAGTACTGCTGCAGCTAACTTAGCTTGGTTGTGTACTAGGCTAGGAGTTGTGTAATCTCATGACGAGTTAATTTCTCGTCCCTAGATTTTTTATGATGTTACTGTATTCAGCTGCTGTATAATAGTGTACTATTACATTTCTTATATTTTATTTCAATGAAGGCAATATTTTGCCAAAGAAAACCATGATTCAGGCATATTCTTTTCTTATCTATGTGCACACCCCTGCTCATCTTTGTGTGGATAGATGAGGCACATTTGAAGCAATAGTTCATTTTATTATTCGTCAATGTGTGTACTTTGCTGTTTAAGATGAGGTTATGTATTTTCTGGTTGGAGGACCACCCTTTCATGGATTGTATGTTTATCTTCCTCTGCTGTGTTTGTCAGGTTTATGAAGATGAAAGAAAGAGGTAAATTCCAGATCACAGAGTTCTTAACTTTTAGTCTCCATTACGTATTACATAAATAAGGATCTAATTATTAAATTAATTCTGATATTAATCAGATTAAGCTGCCTTTGTGATTGCTTTTTCACATTGTACATGATTACAAATATTAGTTTTATTATAATTAAATTGATATTAATGAATATTTTACGTATTTTAATAATTAGACAAGAATACTTTTTAAAAATAATTCATCCAAAACGAGTATACTTTTCTTTGTAGTCGATGATGATGCTGTTGATAAAAGTACTAGAATAGTAATACTTTCTATGGAAATTGACAATCCTACGTACGTAATTGATTATGCTATATGCAATGATCAAGTAAAAAATTTTTAACAAAAAAATTATCCTTAATTTATTGTCTGCATATAGTTTTGGACAAAATGCATGGGTTCCATATCATATGCATGGGGGTGAAACACAAAGTCAAACTCAAATACCTTCGGAAATGTTAATTTTCCCATCATTTAGATTATACTAAAATAAATGACATGGAATTGTATATATAATTGGAGCTGATATACGAAATTTTAAAGTAGTTACATATCATCAAATTCAAACCAGATGCTTGTGTAGTAGTTCAAGCATCCTATTGGTGAAAAGAGTTGATCATAAATAAAGATCATTAGTTTATATTGTGAAAAAAATTCTTTTGAATTATTTCCCTTTGTCTAATCTCTATGTACGGCGGCACATCTTTTACCATTCTTTGCAAAATGAAAAGAGGTCGATGTTCATTTTAAATGGTTTAAGTATTAGATCCGGTATCTAGTGTTTGTTCCCTTAGCAAGAACAAAGTCTGAAGTATGGAATAATTAATCATGGTAAAAATTCTCTGCTTCCACTTTGTTTCATTGGACAGTACTCCTGATTTGAATAACTTTCTGCAATAATATTGTTGAGTGAAGAATTCTAAGTATATAATGTGGTCAAGGTGAAGATTCCGATTACAACTAGATTTGGAAACTAAGGAGCAAGTAGTCTTTGGTTATAATTAATCACTGCTCTCGTCTTTTGATTCCTATAGACAAGTAAACAATTCCATGTCAATTCGTAGCTACTGAGTCATAGACTCATAAGGCTGATGATGGACAGTGCAGTAATAATGGTCTTGATGTTCATAAGTAAGCTATTTCTCTTCTTCTCTTCTCGAATATGCCATAAGTTGCAGTTCTGTAAAAGTTTGAGTGATTTTCCACTTAAATAAAGTTTCTGCTGTTTGAAAATGCAGCTATCATTGTGTCCCTGTGGTTATTCACGTTGATTCACAAACATAATCGGAGAAAAAAGGCAGGAGATGTCTCAAAGTGTGTCAACCTTCTAATTCTATGACACCAGCAATTGGCATGGTCCTGGTTGATATTGAGAATGAGAAGCCCATCAGATATTTTTCCCAGGAACTGAAGGCAGCTACAAACAATTTCGCAGAATTCCTGGGGAAGGGTGTTATGGTAAAGTTTACGAAGGAAACTTACGCAATGAAAACTTACCAGGTAGGAGACCGGTGGCTGTAGAGGTTCTAGAAGCTCGCTCTGATCAGAAAGTAGAGGATCAGTTCTTGGCAGAATTGAGAACCTTCGCTAGAGCCCGCCATGTCAATCTTATTCAACTACTCGGGTTTTGCTACGATGCAGACTTGCAAGATCTTGTTTATGAATACATGGAAGAAGGCTGCCTGGGAGGTAAATTATTCTCTAATGGTACATGTTTAGCATGGGAAACATTGTGCAATATTGCAGTGGGAACTGCAAAAGTTATTGCATACCTGCACGAAGGGTGTGACAATCTTATTATTTATTCTGACATTAAAGCAGCTAATATTCCTCTGGACAGGAAATTCTGCCCCAAAGTTGCTGATTTTGGATTGGCTCTTCTTTTTAACCGGCAGAAGAAAGAAATCACACTGACACATTTCAGTGGTACTATTGGATATGCTGCACCAGACCTCTACATCCCTACATTGCCCCTAACACACAAGTGTGATGTTTATAGTTTTGGGATGCTTTTGTTTGAGATTCTGGGTCGGAGGAGAAAGATGGATGAGGCCTTCCCTGACAGTCAGATGTGGTTTCCCCAATGGGTGTGGAAGAAATGGGAAAATGGGGAGTTCCAAGACTTGATGAAGGTTTGTAGGATCAATAAGAGGGATAGAGAGATGGCAGAGAGAATGGCGAAGGTTGCTTCTTGGTGTGTTCAGCAAATCCCTAAGGCAAGGCCTAAGATGAGTCGTGTGGTGCAGATGTTAGAAGGACATGGTGAGATCCAGCCTCCCATGAATCCGTTTCTGCACTTGATGCAGAAATCTCCCTTCCCAGACTGGATTGTCAAGTTTACAATCGGTCAATCACAGAGAGTAGCACCCCAGAAAAATTTGAAACAGCCACTGAATCGTCACCCCGTTTCTGTCCTTACTCGAGCACTCCCATCATGCGCAAGTGTGAGATTGAGATTTGCTAAACCTTCGTCGTAAACAAAAATTTGCTTGCAAATTCATCAGCAGTACTTTTAATAAGATATTTTCTTACACAGTTACACTTTTGAGAGGTTATCTATGGTTTGAATTTGAGATCTTTTGCCTTATTATCTCAGCCTTAGCTTAGGACTTAGGAGGCTCGCTTGTGAAGCAAAGCCCTCTTTTCAGCTTCTGTGCATCTTCTCCTTTTGTTTTGGTGGCAACGAGCTACTTTTATTCTATGTAATTTCTTTTCTCTTTTATGTTTTTTTTTTTGACAAGAAAAAATACAATATTAAGTTAATCTCTATTTGAGAAATATCAAGTTTAAAACTCATCTTATAAATAAAAGTATATATCACTTGCTTTTCACTTTAAAAAATACATGACCGTCACTGTAATGACCAGGCGAGGAATGCTTCTCTTTTATGTATACTTGTTTTTTTGGCTATATGGAAATGACTGCTAGTAACTTTTTTCTCTACTAGTACTGCTACTGCTACTGATTACCCTCTAGACTATAATTGTGTTTTGAGATTATATTTTTATACAGCATTTTATAAAAATGTTAATTTATTAT